GTCGCCGCCCACCGCCGACCAGGACCTCGAGACGGTCATCCCGAAGGAGGGCGCGCGCGTCGCCGTCGTGGGTGGAGAGCACGGCGGCACCCCCCACTCCCCCCCCCCCCGCTGCCGCCTCCCACGCTTCCCCTCACCCTCCCTGATGTCTCGCCGCAGGCACCACCGCCACCGTGCGCTCCATCGACATGGACGCCTTCTCGGTGGTCGTGCGGCTCGAGGACCTAGAAGCGGAGCACAGACACCCGTGCCTTCCGACTAGAGACGACACGCTCTCCGGGTCGTCTTAGCCCTCGTGTACGATGCCCTGAGCACACTGCACGGCACCGTCTGCGCCCTGACCGGTGTGTGCATGCCGTAGGCTCGAGGACGGACCGCGCGCCGGGGCAGAGCTACCTCTCGAGTACGAGGCCGTGTGCAAGCTCGACTCCCGCTAGCCGCGCTTCGGGTCGCCATCAGACCTCGCCGAGGTAGTCGTTCGCTAGACATGAGACAGAGAGAGAGCGTAATCATCCCGCGCAGAACGCGCACATACCCGCGGCGGGGCGGCAACGGTGGCGGAACAGCGCAAAGCGGCAACCGAACACCCGGAACAGCTGGGCCGAAGCAACTCTCACTGGGCTCACTGCGGATCGAGGACCCGGTGCTAGCGATAGAGAAAACATTGTGTAGAGAGTTACTCTGTATAACCACACAGCTCGAGTGACACAGGCTGTCAGCCTATTCGCACTGGCAACCAGCTTCACTTTTTTGCGTGTTGTTTGTCCTGAAAGCTGAATGACGAAGTCGCGTCTCGCGGCCGCGAACACGCGAGACGCGCCACACCGAGCTCTCCCGCGACGAGAGGTCGCGCGACTGGACGATTCCAATTCGCTTCAGCGCAAAGCGGCAACCGAACACCCGGAACAGCTGGGCCGAAGCAACTCTCACTGGGCTCACTGCGGATCGAGGACCCGGTGCTAGCGATAGAGAAAACATTGTGTAGAGAGTTACTCTGTATAACCACACAGCTCGAGTGACACAGGCTGTCAGCCTATTCGCACTGGCAACCAGCTTCACTTTTTTGCGTGTTGTTTGTCCTGAAAGCTGAATGACGAAGTCGCGTCTCGCGGCCGCGAACACGCGAGACGCGCCACACCGAGCTCTCCCGCGACGAGAGGTCGCGCGACTGGACGATTCCAATTCGCTTCGTCTTGCCACAAGTGCGAGATCACGCGGCTCGCGCCTCGAGGGATAAATAAATAAAAACGGTCAAACTCTGAGACGAGACGATGGGATTTAGGGACATTTTCATGTGTCCCCCGCGCCCGGAGCGGCTCGCTGCCCACTTGTTGCGGTATGCCCCCCCCCCCCCCCCCCCGGCGCCGCGCGCTACACGGGTCACGGCTCTCTCGCGCGGCGACCGTGTCGCGACGCACACCCCGCACACGGAGTTCGGACATCGCGCTCATCGGAGACACACGACACGTGCCCACCGTGGAGCGCAGATCCGCAGGGCGGGACGCGCTCCTTAAATCCGTTTGGCAGTCGATTGTTTCTTTCTTTGTTTACGCGCTCAGCGCGCCTCTGGGTGCACCACACAGAGCTCAAAGGATCAAAAAAAGGCGCGGGGCGTGGGGGTTATGGTACAACAACAACATATGTGGGACATGCCACTCATGGAAGGCGCGCTCCCTCGGCGGGACTCCCTCACCGATCCGCCATCGCCGAGGAAGGAACGCTCGCCCGAGTATGATCTTTGCACTGTGGGAGTGCGCGGAGGCCACAGCTCTTCCCTCACCGCTCCATCGCTGGCGACATCGCAGGAGGAGCCCCGGCGGCGCCCAGCATTCCCGGCGGGGGCTTAGTGCAGCCCATCGGCTTCGGCCACAAACGGTACCCACACAGCGCACACACGTAGTCCGTGACGTACTCATCGACCCATGGCACGGCACCGACGCCCTTGCAGAAAAGGCAGGCGGTTTTAAATTTGCAGCAAATGACGGGAATCTTGAAGCCGCACGTGCAGCAGTACAGCGCGATCTGGCACATGAGCTCGTTCTCGAGCTTGTCGTCGTCGATGCCGCTCGTTTTGAAGTGCACTGGGAGAGGATTCTCAATCGACTTGTCGCCCTTCAGAGCGCAGCAATTCTCGCCCGCAAAGCAGCACTTCTCATACTCCTGCGTGCAGCAGATGAGCCCAGGAAAGCCACTGTTGATTTCGCAGGTGTGGTAGCAGCACAGGCACCCACTAAACAGAAACTCCTCCTTTGGAATACCGCAACCCATGCCGTCAGTCACCCCCTCGACCCCGATCGATCGATGAATCCGCAAACGTCGTCGAAAATGAGCCGGTTTACATGTACCACTGCGTACGTCCAGAGAGAGAGAGAGACCAGGAGAGAGAGATAGAGAGAGATAAGTACAGTACGTCCAGGCAACGACATGACTTGGAGGCAAATGATCGGAGTGCGAGTCAGAAATGTGGTCCTTGCGCGAGGGGAGCTCGATAAACTCGAGGGGCCAAATTATGCCGCGAGGAGGGCGGAGGTACGCAGAGAGGCGAGAGAAGCAGCGAGAGCAAGGCAGACGGCAGCGGCGTCTCAGAACGAGGCCGAGGAGAGCGATGAGTCAGAGGATGAAACAGCAGGAGAGAGAACGAGGACGAGAGTGGGAAGAACGAGAGGTGGCATGAAGGTCGCTGCGAGAATTGGTGAGAAACTGCGAAGAGAGATAGGAAGTGGTAGACGCCCGAGGGTGGGCGACGGCTAGCACCACACTCCTCTCCTTAAAATCCCTGTGTGGTGGCGGCGTGCCGTCCTCCCATCCCTCCCTGGGTTGTCTGTTCTTTCTTCTTTCTTCATACGTCCAGGCTCGCAGTACTGCCTGCATGTGTGTACGCGGTGTGAGTTTGAATGTTGTTAGCCGTGTTGGGGAATTGGGCCGTCCAGCAGTCAGTTCCACGACCTTGAGGCCGGGCCGTTGCAGCGGACTACAACATGGTTACTATCTGATGAGAGGTGAAGAACAGCGTTAGATCTAGTGCAAAAACTACTCACGAGTCGGTACACGAAGCGCCCGTTTTTTTTTCATTTCCACACTGCCAATGGCCGCGCTTTTGTTGGTACTCCTGCTCTCGGTAGCGGCGCCTGCATCTGGGATTGCCGCGCTCGCCCGCCCTGCACTCGGTGGGCACAAGGTAGCTGCGAGCAGGCGTCGCCTCGAGCAGCAGCCCGTCTCGCTTGCCGTGGCCTTCGACGGCGGCGTTTTGGCGGCCATCACGCCGGCGGCATTGGGCCGGGATGCTGCGAGCGCGTCAGTGTGCGCGGGTGCGGCCTGGATGTGGGTCGCTTTCTGGTCGAAGCTCGCCGCCGACGGCCGCATCCAGCCCAATCTCTCGCGCAAGATCATCCACACCGGCAGCGCACCGCTATTCATGCTATGTTGGCCTCTCTTCTCGCCAGCGCCGTCAGCGCCCATCCTCGCCGGTGCGGTGCCGCTCCTGCAGATCATTCGCCTGTACCGCGCCGGGAGGGCGCAGCCAGCCCAGCCGACGCCCGTCGGCGCCGCCGAGGCCGACGACACCGCCGACCTCGTCAAGGCCATCTCTCGGTGTCTGCCTCTGCACATCTTTCACCACGCGCCCCCGCCGCTCTCGCCCGCAGCGACCCAGGACACGTTGCCGCAGGAGCGGCTCGCGCTCCGAGGCCCTCGGCGGCCCCTTCCTCTACACGCTCGTCCTGCTCGTCGCCACTGTACTTGGGTGGCGGAGCCCGGCGGCCGCCGTCGCAATCTGCCAGATGGCCGTTGGCGACGGCGTCGCAGACATTGTCGGGCGGCGGTGCGGCGCCGCGGCCCTCGCCCCGCGGCCGCCGCCCCTCTCCGCGCCGCTCTCGTGCCCCGCCGCGCACTGGCACCGCCGTGGCAGAGACACTCCTCTCCCGCCTCGGGCGCCTCTGCCGCAGGTATGGCTCTGTCAAGTGGCCCTTCTCGCCGTCGAAGAGCGTCGCGGGCAGCGCCGCGTTTGTGGCGAGCACAGCCGAGACCGAGATCGAGCCGCCTCCCGCCCGTCGCACAAAGCCCCGGGCCGTGCCTTCTTCACAGGGCGGCACGCCTGCTCAAAGGAGCGCGTGGCCCGCGTGACCCCAGGCGAGCGCCTTCAGCGCGTCGCTCGGACTCATCAGCCTCTTCCACGCCTTCGGCTTCACCGCTCTCACCGCGGCCGCGGCCGCGCCCGCCGTCCTCCTGATCTCGCTCCTCTCGGCGGCCGTCGAGCTGCTGCCGACGAGACCCGTGATCGCCCGAGATGACCCGAGATGACCGAGATTAGGCGGCCGTCGAGCTGCTGCCCGCCGAGCTGGCAGACGACAACGTCTCTGTCCCCGCGGCGGCGTGGGCCCTCTCCGCGTGGCTCCTGAGCGCAGGGTGAGGAGCAGGAAGGCCCCTCTAGACCGAGGACCACGTGGTAGACGAGTCCTTGCTATTGGCGCCTGGCGCTGCACACACGCCGCCACCGGGCTCTATTGCGCTTTTGGGGCGCGTGGCCGCCACAGCCTGCAGCCTCTTTGTCCGCGGATCAAGGCGCTCCTCCGCGAAAGAGGGAGAAGAGAGCTATAGGAAGGAGAGAGAGCGCGGTTTGCCGGCGTGTGTGTCGCGCCGGTGACGCCGCCGACACGAGACACGTGCCGAATTTTCTCATGCGCTAATATTACATGTAGTGCATTGGCTAATATCATGAGTAAGCCGGAGACGAGCCGATTTCTCGATACTCGAAGTTACTCGAAAACCTGCTGCGAGTGCGACCTGCGCTCGTGCGGGCAGCACGCTGGCGGGTCACGATACTAGTCACGATGTCTTCTTCTTGGCGCTGCTAGCTGGCGTTCCGTGTGTCTCTCTTGTGCCGTTCAGCTTGACGACAACCTTGTGACTCGAAATGACGCCGGAGGCGAGCCCGGCAAAGAGGGCGAGAGGTAGCGGCACTCCGCCTCCGCGCAGGCCTCTCAGCCCGGCGGCGTGGCTCGCCTTGAGCAGGTCGCACGCATATTTGACGATAGCGAGACGCGCGAGCTGCAGCTTCTCCCGCAGCTTCGCGTCTGTGCTGCCCACCTTCGGGTCTGCGCCGGCCTTCGCGCCCGCGCCCGCTGTTTGCGGCGCCGCCGCCTGCAGGCGCTCGATGCGGCTCGCCCGCACCGCGCCCGCACCCAGGGCGACGAGCGCATGCACCGCATCGACGGCGGCGGCGCACCATTCGAGGCGCTCGGCGAGGCGCGGGGAGAGCGGGAGGAGGCGGAGGCTCACGAGCGTTGAGGCGTCGCCGAGCAGGTCGACCACTAGCGCCGCCGCCAGCTCGAGGAGGGCGAGGGCCCGCAACGAGCCGCTCTCGCCAAGTGCATCGGAGGCGTCGTCCACGTGCCTGACCCAGTGCAGCAGCGAAAAGACCTTTCGTGCGGCACTGAGCTGCTTGGAGGCCGCGGCGAGTCTGCTCGAGCCGTGGAGGTGAGCGGCGAGCTTAGTGGAGTACGCAAGAACCTTGACGATCTTCTCCCTCAGCTCTAGGCTCCGCGAGAGGTGCGTCGCGTGGGAGAAGGAGGCTGCAGATAGCATTGACACTTCTTGCGTCGGGTTCACCCGAGCGAGCGGCAAGACCAGGCAGAGCGGGCGCGGGTAGTGAAGGCAGGTCCAGCCAAGACAATCGCCCTGGGTTCCAACTTTTTCCGCGGGTGCGGGTACTGCGTGCATGAATGGTTGCCCAGGTGTGAACAACACCTCGTGACCACGGCGCCGCAGGCGCCTGTTGATGGGTCCAGGTGATAGCCCTGGGTGGGCATTGCATACGCCTAGTTGGGCCTCAGATCGCCCGACCGCGTCCCGGTGCTCTGCCGTCGGATTTGTGACGCCGCCGCACCGCGCCGCGGCCGGGGGCCCTTCGGAGGCCGAGGATGGCCGTGGCGGACCGGGACGAGCTCCGGGAGGTAAAGTGTCAGTGTATATATTGTGGAGACTAACCATGCCCACAATATCTCTCAGTCTAGCTAAGCCAGGGTGGGAGGCGATGCCGGGGCCGTACAGCAGCTTGATGGTGCTGCGCCGGCGTGCGTCCCGGAGCGGTCCCGGACGGGCGGTCCGTGGGAGGTAATCGGGATCAACGCCGACGGCGCTCTGATTCGACTTTTAACTTCAAACAAAGACAGTCGCACGCGCCACAGCGCGGCGCGTGCGACTGTCAGGAGCGGATCCGTCAGTTAGTCGTGTTCACGCCGGGATCGTGATCCCGACAACCTGGGCAACCATTCCTCCAGCAGAGTATTGGCTGGTAGTCTCGGCGGCCCAAGGGGGGGGGGGGTCTAGTCCTGACCGCCCATGGCTAGCCCTACCCGGTCTTCCAAGAGGCGGGGTAGGGTCTCGAGGTGGGTTGGCCGAGCCTACCACACCATACCCCGGAAAAAGTTGGAAGCCTGTGCCATGTCGGGAAAGAATTCTCTCCCGCCTTTTTACAAAAAAGAGGAGGGAAGTAAAAAGGAAGTAAATGTAAACCAAACTCCCTCTCACGACACTCCTCTCATTAAAATCCCTGTGTGGTGCGGCCTTCCGTCCTCCCATCCCTCCTTGGCTTGTCTGTTTTCTTTTCTCACGACACTGCGCACGGGAAGTCGCGGAGAGGCACATTACTCTCGAGGTTCTCGAGGTGGATATCCTTTTGCCTCGTTGTGAAGGCACATTACAAACGAAAAAGAAAATCTCAGCATCGGACGGACGAGTCCATCGGGCAAAACCCCCGGCCGCACGTCGGGCTGCTCCGCCCCCGCAAGAGCGTGATGTCCAGCAAGGACAAGAGCAAGGAGAGCAAAGAGAGGGACACTGTGACCAACCGACGCGAGTCCGTTGGCTGGTCCAAGGGCCCCTCGCTAGAAGTGATCCCGGCCGCTGCAAAGCACGCTCCAGCGTGGGGCGCAGGCCACGTGTTTGAGCGCGTTGCCGTCGACGGCCGCACGGAGCTGGCGGCCGCGTCGGGGGAGGAGCTGCGCGGGGGTGGGGTGTCCACAGGATGGGCGGACCCTCAGACCAATAATGTGACAGGTGACTCGCGGCACTGTTCTACCCTTGCCCGCTCCAAATCCCGGTTCTTACGCCGGGTCCCCTCCCCAGGCTACGCCATCAACCCCGAGCTCCAGCTTGACCCGAACCTCCGCGCACACGGCGGATGGCGCGGCCACCTGGCCTGCCAGCGAGACACGCCCGAGTACGAGATAGCGACAAGGATCATCTCAAACGCGGCGCAGATTACGGCTGAGATCCGGCACGAGCCCGACTGCCTCGACTGCAACTGGCGGTGGCGCGACCGCAACTCGCTGCTCAAGCTCCTGCTCACCGGCGCGGAGGGGATCCTGTCGGAGGAGGACGCTGACAACCTGTGCACCCTCGCCACGGCATGCGGCCAGGTACTGAGGGACCAGGAGACGGTGGTGGACGTGCCCGCGCCGTGCAAGGTCTTTGGCGACACGCATGGGCAGCTCCGCTCGCTGTTGCTGCTGTTTGGCGCCTTTGGCTTCCCGCACCACGGCGCCGGAGACGTGCAGGCTGCAAGGTGCATCAACACAACGGCGGGCTCTGAATAGACATCATACTGTCAAGCTGTGAGCAGGCCACGAGCTACATCTTCAACGGCGACTTTGTCGACCGAGGCTTGCATCAGCTCGAGGTGGTCGCGATCTTGTTTGCGCTGAAGCTCATGTACCCGGAGCGCGTCTACTTGCTCCGCGGAAACCATGAGTTTCGTGACATGAACGAGAAGATGGGCGAGGACGGCTTCCTCTCCCACTGCGAGAGCAGGCTGGGTGCCGTCACGCCCGGCCGGTGGGGTAGGATTTACGACGCGATCCATGCGTCCTTTGACTTGCTACCCTTGGCGGCCAGAATCGGGGGCGCCGTCCTCGTCCTGCACGGCGGCGTCGGGGACGGCAGCTGGGACCTCGACACGCTCCAGTCCATCAAGCGGCCTTTGCAGGCAGCTCAAGTGTAGTAGCTCAAGTGCAGCAAGTGGACCCAGAAGACCGAGATGGGTTGACACACACAAACACACACACACACACACACACACACACATGCATGCATGCATGCATGCATGCATGCACGCATGCATGCACGCACGCACGCACGCACGCACGCACACGCACGCACACGCACACACTCACGCACGCACGCACGCACGCACGCACGCACGCACGCACGCACGCACGCACGCACGCACGACCCGCGGCAGGAGCTGGAGTGGGACGAGGAGGCGTCCAAGAAGATTGAGGCGAGGGCGGTGCTGCACGCCATGTGGAGCGACCCGAGCGACTCGGACGCGGGCATGCGCGCCGGCGTCCACCTTGGCCAACGTGGCGGCTCCATCCCAGAGTTTGGTCCCGACATCACGAAGCGCTTCTGCGAGCGCAACGGAGTGGAGGTTGTGATCCGCTCGCACCAGTTTGTCAAGGAGGGCTTCAAGCTGATGCACTCAGGTCACTTGCTCACCGTCTTTTCGGCGCGAGACTACTTCGTCGACACGGGTGACTGCCGAGAAATTCTACCATGCCTTTCCCCCTTTCTCTCCCCCACGATGGTGGTAGAGTCTCGTTAGGCACATACCAGCCGCTCTCTCAATGCCTCTGCTGGCATCAACTTATCCTGCCGGCCCAACACTGCCCTCCCACCCCTCGCTATCAGACCTGTTCGACCGGGATGTGGGCAACGACGCCGCACTGCTGCTGCTCGCGCCAGACCGCAACGGCGACCTGCGCATACATCCCAAGCGCATCTCATCGTGCGTCTCGGGTATCGAGGCCGCCGTCCGCAAATACCGGCGGAACTCCGGCGGATCGGCGTGGACGCGGGCATTTGCGTGGCTCGTGACGTGTGGAGCGTCAAGTCGGTCCACCATGAGGTGAATTGTAGAGGTGAATATGTGTCCATGCACTTTTTAGCTTAATGGGAGAGGGGAGAGGGAGGTGGCTCTCTCCATGTACCGAGAGAGGACATTGGTTGGCGATGGGCCCTTTAGATTAGTACCACAGAGTGCGTACACTTGTCAATCCGATGCTGTGGGGTCTTAAAAGCGCCGGCTTTCGAAAGCGCCGGGTTTCGCCTCCCGCGGCGTCCGCCCTCTTTCTGGCCGCGCGTCCCCCCCCCGTCCCCTCGACTGCACTGACTCTTTACATACATAGTCACTGAGCACTGGGGCACGCCTGCTGTTTTACATTTTAAGAGCAAAAATCCGTTCGGTTGACCGTTCCCAAGCGCGGCAAATAGCCTGCGTCCCGCTCCCTGACGTGTCTCGGGCGCTTGGGGGCAGCGCCGCTGGTCGTGTTGATAGCCTCTCTTAGGAGGTAGCCGGTGAGGGCGCTCGGCTCGGTGCGGTCCCACCCGCTGTGCAGGACGTCTGCCGAGGCGTTGTACGATCTTGGCAGCCAAGAGTAGACCAACGCCTCGCGCGCGCGCTGCAACGCGGCGCGCAACTCTCGCATTCGCGTTGGGTTGGCCTCGAGTTTGCGCAGACACCCCACAAAGGCTTCGAGGTCCGACATCATGCGGGCAAACGGATAGAAGAGCATGAAGCGGCCATAATCGAGCTGCGACTCAAAGGGCAGCGCTTGCTGCTCGCAGTCGATGACCAGAGGCACGCAGCCCGCCGCGATAGCATCGAAGAAGCGACGAGTTGTGCAGGTGTGACCAGAAGGCGCCAGGCAGAAGGTTGATGACTGCATCGCCTCGGCGTAGGATACCTCGCTGGCGGAGCAGCGAGGGCAGTAGTCCTCCCCGAGGGAGATGTGCACGCGCTCGAAGCGGCTCAGCGCAGTCAGGTTACGGCGCAGCACGCCGAAGCCACCAGACCCGCGAAAGTAGAGGAGCTGCGGCTTGGCTGGATGCAGTAGCGATGAGCGCACCAGCGACAGCTCGGCGACGGTGGCGTAGGGAATAGCCATCCGGTGCGGTGCGATGCTTGGCCAGTGGGACGCAGAGGCGAGGACCAGCCAGTCGCTCAGGGCAGTGAAGGGCGACTCGTGCGCCTTGTACGCCTACAGACGGGTTGAGTCCGAACGTACCACCAACTCGCGAGCACACTCGACGGTAAGCCTTCATGGCACCGTGGTGGTGTACTCAGTCGCGCCAAACATTACATGGGGAACGCCGCTCGTGCGGAGGGTCTGCTTTGCCGCCGAGATGACTGGCCGTGCGCGGCTCAGAGCTGTAGAGTTGGCGCAGTCCCCCACGAGCGAGTTGAGCCACAGATGCAGACACAGGACGATCACCTCCGCGGCGGCCACATCATCCGTCCTGGCAGGATGGCTCCGCGCACTATGGCAAAACTGCAGCTCCGCGCTTACCCCGCCGCGAGGGTCGTTGGAGAGCGGGTTCTGCAGCTCGGCTTGCATCCAAGGCGCCTCCGCGCCGGCCGACCCGTCGACGGCGCACCTGAGGAGCTGCGACTCGTATGCAGAGTCTGCATGCAGGAAGAAGCGAGGCGAGGCGGTCCGAGGGTTTACACTTTTTAGAGATGCTGCCTCACCGCCTCCGGCCAAGGGCATTGCCGGTGCAGTATGCAGCTGGCTTCTGCAGCTGCGGCCAGCACACACGGCGGCCACACTGGAGCGGCCGTACCAGTCACCTCTCGAAGGGCCTGCGCAGCGGTGATCTCCTATCCAGCAGCCCGCCTGGCCTGACCACACCCAGCCAACGCAACTGGGCGTGTCGCAGCATCGGACCTGGCACGCGAGGGCAGAATGCGTCGCGTTCTGTCGGCGGAAGCCTCGACACTCGATTCCCTGTATCGGATGCGCCAAGACGCACCGCGCGTCCATCCACAACTCAGTGAGTCCTTCGTTAAACGCGCGTCGAGATTAGTGCGATTTTTGGCGATTTTTGGTGGCCTATTTTTCGCTTGGCATTGGTGGGAAATCGCACTATTTAAGGTCCCTCGGGCCAGTTGGGGGGGGCAAACCCAGCCCGCCCCCTAGGACCCCGGGTAAGACCCAGGTGTGGCCTAGGGCATCAGAAGGGACCAAGAGGAGTCCAGTCTGAGCCATAGAGCCCATGTCTTTGCCCCCGAAGGTCGCGTTCAAATGCCCGGAACAGCCGTCTGAGTGGTGTCCGGCCGGCGCGATCACCGAGCTGTGACGCTCAGGGAAGCCTGATGAGGTGCTGGTTTCTTTGCCCAGGGCTGGCCTTCCCCCCAGGCTGGATCAGCTGAGCAAGGTTTGGGGAGAATCCCCCGGTCAGATCTTCAGATATTTTAACGGATGACCGAAATCACCCCGTTTTTGCCCATTTTCGGTCATCAAGTGGATGGGCATGATCCTGCTCGAAGGCTCCATGGAGCACATGTCGCTCCTCCTCGGCGGCTCCGTCTTCAACAACATCTTTTACCGCCTGATGGGCGCGAGCGTCGGCAAGAATGCGTACATCGAGGGCCGTGCGCTCGAGTATGACCTCTTATCTGTCGGCGAGGGCGCGACCGTTGGACGAGAAACATACCCCCAGTGCCACACCGTCGAGCGGCTTGTGATACGCAACGCGCCGGTCACGCTCGAGAGCAGTGCGACGATGCGCTCTCGGTCCGTCATCATGCCAGGCGCCACACTCAGCAAGGGCTCGTGCCTGCAAGAGTTCTCCCTCCTACTCAAGGGGGAGGTGACGGGTACAAACGAGGTCTGGTGGGGCAACCCGGCGAGCCGCCGCCCGCCAGGCGTCTATTCTTCGTTTGATCTCAACTTGAAGGACGAGCAGTGCGTCAGCTTCTCCAGTCTCGAACTCATCTGATCTCGTGAGACTCTGTCTCGGATGAGAACATAGTTCTCGCGGCGCAGCGACTCCCGTCTCCACTCCCGAACCCAATGCCGGCTGGCGGAGGCGCCGGGCCTCACCGCCTTGCTTGCCATGCCTCGGCGCAATTTGTTTGCGTGCCGTCTCCTCCCTCCCTGCCTCCTCTCGGGGAACGCGGCAGCGCAGCGCGGCCGCGTCTGCTCGCACTCAGGCCACCCTAGAGGGATGCGCGTACTTGGAGAAGGGAAGGCTACGAAATTCTTACGGATGCGCGTACTTGGAGAAGGGACGGCTATGTAAAGAATTTGCAAGTGTGAAGAAATCGGATGGACGTGCGCAAAGGTCGTTTCGATATGGCCCCCGATTCGCGCGGCGACGATGCGCCGGTGCCGGAGGATGGAAGCGGCCATCGTGTCGTGGAAGACCTCAAGGAGCGGCTTCGCCAGTGCCAGGCTGCCTGCAGGAAAACGCATCGCGAGAAGGCGAGGCTAGCAGCAGCACTGGAACAACAGCGCGAAGACTCGAGGGACATCATCGAGCACCTCAAGGGAGATGTTGCTCAGAAGGCGGAATCAGTGCTGACGCTCGAGGAGCGACTGCAGTCGCTGGTCCAGCGGAGTGATCGCGATAGGGAGCGCGTCGCCGACTCGCGCCGGCGAGAGCAGCAGGAGGCTCGCGACGAGGCGGAGCGCTTGCACGCTTTGATTAGCGAGCAGTCTGAAGAGCTGGAGAGGGTGCAGTCGTTCCGTGATGCGCACGTGGCGCTGCTGGCGGAGCTGGCACGGGCCCGAGAAGAGGCCGCTCGACATGAGAAGCTGGTGGTCGATCTGGAGCGGAAGCATCTCGTCGAGAAGGATGGCCTCAAGAAGGAGATGCTCTGCCAGCTCCAGGCGCGGGTTGGCGGGTGGTCGCTACACGCTAGCTAGGTAGAGCCATGGTGAGAGCAGCTCGTCATGCTACAGGAGACCAAGGCGAGCCTGTTGGAGCTCACTGAGAGCCAACTCGACGCCTCCACCAAGCGCGTGCTCGAGCGAAACGAGCAGCTTGCTGAGGAACTCGCCTGGCAGTCGCGGGAGGCTGAGAAATGGGTGCGCCGGGCCGACAAGCTGGCCTCGGAGAACAAGTCCCTCCGGCGCGAGAACAAGTCCCTCCTGACAGAGAGGGCAGAGCAGCTGCGCTCCAAGGCGCACCCAGACCGTGACCTTGAGCCCCCAAAGTGATTCGAGTTCATCCTGACCCTTCCGACCCTGAACGATCACACACAACGTTGTGCATGTAGGTGGGTGCCTACCAGCGGACGATTCGTACGCTTCAGGCCCGATTGGACGCGGCTGAGGCGTCGACTTTTCCGCGCGATGAGTCGGATGCCGAGTCTCAGCAAGCTGAGCCTCAGCAACCGCAGCCGCAGCAGCAGGAGCAGCCGCAGCAACAGCCACCGCCGCTGGGGCGGAGGCGACAGCCACAGCCGACGCCACCGCAAAGGCAGCAGCTTCGCGAGGACTTCGAGGGCGCGGCGCGGACAGATAACATTTCGCCGCGAGTCTCCCCGCGAGACTCCTTCTTGGCCTTCCCGCCGATTAGCGGCCGCGTCGCCGGCGGCTCCTCGCCTCAGCGCAGAGAGTACTACACAGTCTGGGGAGACAGCACGCACGAAGCATGCGGGTTAAAGTCGTGACTCGTGTCAGTCGTGTCGTCCCGCCGACGTTTTGATCAAACGGCACAGCAGCTCGGGGTACGGGGGGCGTGGGCCGGCGTGGCGCTCTCGCGTGAGGCGTGTGTCACACACGCCGTGTGGGCGCGCGAACGCGTCGGGGGGCGTCGCGCCGACCGCCGTCGGCGTCGCCCGTCGCCGCGCAGCTGCTCCAAGAACGATGGTCCAAGTCCAATTAACGGCGCCATCGATACGACGTCCAAGCCGCAATAACGGGCGGCCCACGTGTGCGCAATGCGCAAGTGGAAGCGCGCGCCAAGGCCAACCCCGTGCCCCTGGCCCTGCGCTCGGTTGGACTGCGCGGTGCGCGGTCCACCTGCCGTGCGCGCCGCGCAGTCCCGCACCCCCGGCACCCGCCACCCCGGGCGACCCCGCTCCCGGGGGCCTCACGTGGCCTCGGCCCTCTCCCCGCGCGCCGAGAGAAGCGCGGAAACCGTTTCTAATTCAATTTTGCATGGCGCCTCGCTCCCCACTCCCGACCTGCACCATTTCGACACACAAAACCCGGGCGAGAGAGTAGCTCCGTCTCAATCTCTTGCGCGGCACTAGCTCTTCCGCCGCGCGCGAGACGAGAAGACAGAAGTGAGACGGCACCGCCGTGTACCTACGTCTCTCACACACCACCGGCGCCGGCGTCGAGCGGCGGCGCGTCGAGCGGCGGCGCGTCGAGCGACGCGGCGGGAGAGAGGAACAGCGGCAGCAGCGCGCCGGCGGCGGCAGCGGCGAGGGCGATGAGGGCCACCGTGGTGGCCGAAATGCCGCCGCTCTGCGACGAGGGCGCCCCGGACGCGGCGGAGGGCGACGCGCGAGCCTGCCGCAAGCCGGCGGCGATGGCGCGCTCCTGCTCGAGCGCCTTCCGCAGCGCCGCGGCGGTCGCCTGCGGGACGCGTCGTGGACGTGTCACGCCTCGGCGCTGGTGAGTCTGGAGAGCGTCTTGGAGGTCTTGTGGAGAGGCTCTGGGAGGCGAGGCATCGATGGCGTCTCGTGGTGTCTTCGAGGTGTCTCGAGCCTCCGACTCCTCTCGCGCCGCCGCCAGCTCGCGTGCGTGCGCCGACCGCTCCTGCTCGTACTCTGCCAACGCGCCAGCCATCTGCTGTCGCATCGCCCGCCGCGTCGCCTCTGACGCATCCAGCTGTGCGCGCAAGCCCTGTGACACGAGGGCTCCGAGAAGGCTCGGGAGAGGCTCGGGGACACGTCCGAGACCACAGCCATGCACTCGCTGAGGGGAGGCGCAGTGGGAGGAACGGGAGGCAGCAAGCAGAGGCGCCACTCTCTGCTGATCTCGGCTGATCTCGGCGAATCTTGCGCCTCCGCCTCCGCCGCACTGCCCGAAGAGGCGCCCGTCGCGGCGGAACGAGGCGCGGCGGGCGGCGCGGAGGGCGGTGTCTGCGGCTTGCCCGTTGCGACCTAAGGAAAGGGCCGGTGAGCGGCCAACAAGGTGCAGGGCCCCAGCCCAGGGCTGTCCGTCGCGTCAACCACACCCGGACACGGGCAGGAGCTGGCAACGGCAGGCAGAGTGCAAGGCGCGGGTGCGCGTGGCGGGCGGGACCTGGTCGACGAGCGGCGACGACGAGATCGCGTCGCGGGGCGAGAGGGCGTCTCGCGACCCTACGCCACGAGACACACGCCTCGAGTCAGGCGGAGCACCAGGGGCCACGAGTACAGCTGAAGACAGCTGGAGACTGCCGCAATTGTGCACAGCGGAGTACGTGTCCTCTCGAGCGCTAGTCAGGGGACGGGGGTCCCGCATCTAGATCTCGAGATCAGGGCAGATCTGGGGAGATCTGGATCTGGGGTCCCGCATCTAGGTCTCGAGATCTAGGGCAGATCTGGGGAGATCTGGATCTGGGGTCCCGCATCTAGGTCTCGAGATCTAGGGCAGATCTGGGGAGATCTGGATCTGGGGTCCCGCATCTAGGTCTCGAGATCAGGGCAGATCTGGGGAGATCTGGATCTGGGGTCCCGCATCTAGGTCTCGAGATCTAGGGCAGATCTGGGGAGATCTGGATCTGGGGTCCCGCATCTAGGTCTCGAGATCAGGGCAGATCTGGGGAGATCTGGATCTGGGGTCCCGCATCTAGGTCTCGCGAGCCGAGCGACTCTGCGAGTGGCACCGGCGAGGAGGCAGGCGCACCCCCCGCGCGGCCACCTGTCCGCAGCTCGCGCCGCTGTGAAGAGAAGCTCTTCACACCTCTTGACACCTCTCCGCACCTCACGGCCCGCCCTTGCGGAGTGGGCCGTTGCCCGAGTGTGCGCTGCGTCTCGGCTGCGTCTCGGCTGCGTCTCGCCTGCGTCTCGGCTGCATCTCGGCTGCATCTCGGCTGCATCTCGGCTACATCTCGCCGTTGCCCGAGGGAGTGCCGAGGGCGGGGTGGTATGGCGTCGCCGCAGCCTGCGCCGGGCCGTTGCCCGAGGCGAAGGGGGAGAGGGGCCTGCGCGCCATCACGTCGGCAGCGTCAGCATGGGAGCCAGGGGCCGTGCAGCTGCGTACAGCCGGGCAGAGGTGCGGGTAGGTGCGGCGAGGTGCGGGGAGGTGCGGCGAGGTGCGGGGAGGTGTGCGGGGGGGTGCGGGGAGGTGTGCGGGGAGAGAGTGTCCGCATCTAGAGAGGCCGCGGACCGCTCCTCGGGGATGGAGAGGCCGCGCACGCCTCCGGAGTCAGCGGCGACGAGCGAGGAGCGGACCTGGCGGGGGAAGGGGGGGGGGGGGGGGTCCTCCACACACGGAGGTAGGGGTAGTGGTGGGGCAAGCGCCGGAGGCAGCCCTCCCCTCTCCACACCCAAGCACAGGCACGAGCTGGCCCGGCGTCCTTCAGAGTGTCTGGGTGGGCGGACCTTGTCGACCCAGGCAGCCTTTGCTAGGAAGTGTCTAGGAAGTGTCTAGGAAGTGTCTAGGAAGTGTCTAGGAAGTGTCTAGGAAGTGTCGGACCTTGTCGACCCAGGCAGCCTTTGCGGCGTCCGACGCCCACAGCGCGGCGACCCGTGCGCGCAGCGCCTCGTTCCCCTGGGGGCGGGAGGCGGGAGGCGGGAGGCGGTGGCCGTAGTCGGGCGGGCGAGAGGCGGCAGGCTGCCTCGGAGGGTGTGTCGGAGGTGCCTCGGAGGTGTCTCGGAGGTGCCTCGGAGGTGCCTCGGAGGTGTCTCGGAGGTGTCTCGGAGGTGTCTCCGCACCTGCCCGTGCGCCGCAAGCATCTCTTCGGTGAGGGCCTTGTCGAGGGGCAGAGTGAGCACCTGGCCGCAGGGAGAGGGAGAGGGTTGAGGCTGGGGTGAGGGTGAGGGTGAGGGCGGAGGGTGGAGGGGTGAGGAAGAGGGTGAGGGTGAGGGCAGGGCTAGGGCTAGGGCAGGCGATATCGACGGGTGGGAAGGGAGGGGCGGCAGGGAGGGAGAGGCGGCATGTGAGGCGGCGACAGAGGAGGGCGGTAGGTGATGCCGGGCGGCGGCGATTCAACAGACGGGGCGGCGGGGTAACGGCGAGGTGGGTAGCGGGGACGGCTGTGGCCGAAGGAGCGGGGCCGGTGGTGTGCGGATGGGGCGGCGAGGGCGGCGGTGGCGACAGGTGAGTGCGGGAGCGGGAGGGGCTAGGCGTGGTGAGGCGGGCAGCGATGAGGCAGTGACAACAGAGGTTGGCAGGGCGCGCGATGCGTAGTCGGACCTGGAACTTGTCACGAGACTTTGGGTCGCCGGGCTGCGGTAGCGCCTTCTGCACGCCCACCTGGACCGAGACGGTGGCCGCGCCCTCGGCCCATACGATCCCCGCGTTTGGGCGCACGAGGTACCGCTTCGGGTTCGTCGTCTTGATCTTGAAGGCCACCGGACGGCCGCAGGCGAGGTTGCGCAGCGCGAGGTGCTGAATGGAGGCGCGCGAGAGAGACACCTCGAAGCGGAGGTCGGCGGGCTCGATCACCACGTCGGCGGGGCTCGGCTGATCGTTTGCCTTGGAAGCCATATCGCGCCCCCCTCCCCCTGCAGGCGAGGCGACACAGGCGTCGAAGAGCAGCTCCACAAGCTTGAGCGGCGCCGGAGTTTTTCTTTCTTTCCTTTATCTGTGAAGACAAGAGTTGGAAGAGTGCGTGGAGAGTGTTTGAAAAGAAAGAAACGCAGGAGCGCCGCACATCCGCTCGCAGAAGACAAACTATGTACGGTGTATATGCAGGTCGCCCAGCTCGCATCACCACACACGCAACTCTAAAACGCTTGCATGCAGGTCGCCCACCCCGGCCGCTTGCAGTGTGTACATGTATATGCAGGTCGCCCAGCTCGCATCACCACACACGCAACTCTAAAACGCTTGCATGCAGGTCGCCCACCCCGGCTGCTTGCAGTGTGTACGTGTATATGCAGGTAGCCCAGCTCGCATCACCACACATGCAACTCTAAGACGCTTGCATGCAGGTCGCCCACCCCGGCTGCTTGCAGCTCGCCCGACACCGCACACGCACGATCAACAACGGGTCTTCCGCGCTCGCAGGGTGCGGACTTCACGAGCGTCGCCACGCTGACCGCTCTCTACCTCGCCGCCTTTGCCGCCGCGCAGCGCTACGCCGTACACAAGATGGGTACGAAGCTCGACGGCGGCTCGCCGCGCTGGCGCAACTTCCTCGGCCTGCTGCCGCAGGTCTGCGTGATGCCCTCGCTGTGGGTAGCGTCCGCGCTCGTTCCAGGCTCGGCCTCTGTCTTCGCGGCGGTGTTTGCCAACGTGTTTGGGAGCATGCTGCTATTTGACCTGTGCGCGATCAAGTACAACGCGATGATGCTTGCGCACCACTGGCTCTGCCTCGCCGGCCATTGCTTTGCCATGAGCGTCGCGCCCGAGGCGTTCGGCCGCTACTTTGGCGCCGTCGTGGCGCTAGAGCTCGGCTCGGCGACCAGCTGCTCCTGGTGGATGTGGGGAGGCGAGTGGCCGCGCGCGCTGGACGCGCTGTACGGCGGCGGCATGACCCTCTCCAACGGCCTCGGCGCTGCGCTGCTCCTCCGCTGGGCGCACGGCGCCACCTCGCTGCCGCTGCTCGCGCGGTGCGCGCCGGTGCCAATCGTGGCCACGCTGCTCTTCTTTCGGCAAAAGGAGATGGTCGCGCTGCTGCGGTACGGACGCGCCGTCTGCTCCACCTAGCGGGAGGGCGCTTGCATGTGCATGTGCATGTGCGTGGGACACGTTCTTTTTCTCCCTCCCGTTCGAACGAGCGCTGAAATCAAAAAGAATTCTTAAAATACAAGCCTCTCTCACAGCACACTGGCACGACAAGGGCGCGGACTGGCGCGGACTGGCACACACACCGGCTCAAAAAGAAAAGAACGCGGCGAAGAATTTTGCCTAGGCGCCACAAAGAACCCTGCACAAAGATCGCAAGGGCGGGGACCTGACAGTAGCGGGGGTGCGTTTTTCTTTATTTATGCGTAGGCGCCCGGACGGTCCAGTGGTGAGGTGGTATGCTCTACCGCTTCGTCGCCCTCGGCGTCGCGCTGGCGTGCGGGATCTGGACCGGACTCGCCGTGCAGGAGAATTACGACGAGATCTGTGACGAGGTCCGCAAGAGCATCGCCGACACCGACATGCCCCATGCCGACCGGGAGAAGATTGCCGAGGCGGTCGTGCAATTTCTGCCGGCCGGGCTGCCCTTCGCCGCCTTCCTGGTCACCTACATGGCGATGGCACTGCTCGGGTACCTGATCAGCTGCGTCTGCTCCTGCTGCGGCTGCTGCGGAGGCTGTTGCGGCTGCGGCCCCGGCCACGAGTACGCGATGATGCCTCCCACCGTCGCCATCGGCGGGCAGTACCGCGTGATGCTCGTTCCACCGCCCACCGCCCCGCGCGGCACGTGGTCCGACGGGCTCTGTTCGTGCCTTAGCGACGCGCCCGTCGCACTGGTCGCTTGCTGCGTGCCTCCTCTCTTGCCCGCGATGCTGTACGAGCGCGTGGCTCGAGCTGGAGCGAGGAAGAGGGCGGCGGGGAGCCTCTCCTGCAGACGCCGGGCCCTTCCCGTAGGCGCGTGACTGGGCACGCGGGCTCGTGCAAGTTGCTAACCGTCTTCGTCGGCGGACTGTGGCTTCTCGCAACCTTCGGCGCGCCCAGACCGCCCGCCACGCTCCCCCCAACCCGCCACCCGCGCACACCACCGGCATGCAAACGCTACCGCCGCGCACACCCCACCGCCCGCGATGCAACACCAGGCGCGCCTGCCTTTTGCCAGTACGGCGGCAGCTTGCCGAGCCACGTGCCAAACGAGTGCCGTCTGGTCAACGCCGCGTCGACGGCGTCGATGGTATGCATGGTGCTGCTGGTGTGGACCGTGCGGAGCCGGGTGTGTGCGGAGCCGACCCTCCACACCCCGAGATCGCACGAGATCACCCGAGCTCCGCCCGAGGTCAGGTGCGCCAGGCCTTCCACATCCCGCCCTCCTGTGCTTGCGACGCCTGCGACGACGGCGCCTGCGCGTGCTGCCGCCCTGAGCCTCCCTGCAACCTTCGTGGAGCCTGCTCGGAACCCTCCCATAGGCGTCTGCGCGTGCTTCTGCCTGCCGCTCACCGCCGCGCAAGTCACGCGCCATCTCAACGCGACGGAGGGGACCCGCTTCTCGCTCTCCTCGCCGACCGGAGCCGCGGCGCGCCACTTCCCGCCCGCGACAGGCCGCGCGCCGCAGCCCGACCCACACGCGCCTCCGGCGGCGGAGCCTTCCTTGACCCTTCCTGGAGTCTTCTCTAGGCTACGCGCCGCAGCCCGCCTACGCTCCGCCGATGGCGGTCGCGGCCTCGTCCCGTAGATGCCAGATAGCACGACCCGAGCGTCGCTGCTCCGAGCCCATTGCACGAGAGCGCGTCCTCCCCGCCCTCAGCTCCCTTCCTCCCTGCGCTAGGCGCCCGTCCCCGGCGCGGCGCTGCACCAGGCCGTCCCCGCGGGAAGCGAGGTGCCGATGGGGCTGCCGGTGACGCCGCCAAAGTGAGGCTGCGGAGGTGGTGGTGGAGAAGGGTGTGGCCTTGTGGGGGAAGGGGGAGGGAGCGGGGAAAGAAGAGAGGGGGGGGGGGGGTCGGAACGAGGGAGCGCCGCAGGCGCAGGCTTGTGAGTGGCGCGGAGAAGGCCTAGGAATCCTAGGAGAAGGCTCGAGGGAGAAGGCTGAAGGGAGAACCAGGAATTCCGCTTTCCGGGGGGTTGTGGCGATCTTCACACTTTTTATAGGGATGGCATTCGCCGAAATTCTCGCAGGAGTCGCTTAGGCGGCTCTCCCGTGGTGTACCTGTGTTAGTGCCAGTGCGCGCCAGTCCTGTGCGCTGTGCCCAGTGTCGTGCCAGGGAGCTGAGTTGGAGCACTTTGCTCTTTGGAGTGCAGTCGGTAACCTCTCACACATCCCACAGGGCCGGAAACCCAGCGGGCCAGATGATCGGCATCGGGTTACGGGCTAGAGAGCCTTACCTAGCCCTGGGGGGTGCGCGTTCGCAGGGAAAGGGCCGTAAAGTAAACACGCTACACGGCTCACGGATCTCCGAGGCGCGAGGGTTAGTTCCGTGTAGTACCGGGTTTCCCCTTAACTGCAGAACGCCCCCTCTATTATTAAAAATAACGCCCCCTCTACTCGGAGCTAACTCGGACAGGTAGGTAGGTAGAAAGGTGAAGAACAGCCAGGCTCGGACTGGACACCAACGCGGTATGGGTGGACGCTGGACAGATGATGACGACACGCACGAGCGACACACAGTCACAGACACAAACAGGCTCACAAGACACACAGCCATCTGGCTGCCACACACCCTGAGTCGGCGTACACATAACTCAGGGCCACATCCTCCCTGTCGCCCCCCCCAGCACTCCACGGTGCCAAGGGCACAAACAAGGGCACAACTCAAACAACAGACGACAGGACACACAACGTCGTACTTATGTGTTTTTTTTGGGTGGCGGCGCCGGGGTGGCGGGGCCAACGGCCCTGGCTGCTGTGCCGCGCTTTCCCCGAAGTTGCAGGTTTCGCCATGGCAGACGACCACTCGCTCTGCTCACGCGATCTCATTGAGGCGGCGGCAGACTCCTGCGCCTTCGCGAGGCAGCACTGCGCATCCGATGCAGCCGGCCTCTTCGGCTCCTACGTCCCTCTCTACTACTGTCAGCTGGGCGCCTCGCCGGCGGCATTCGCGCCGCTTTGCGCGCTGCTGCTGCTGCTGACGATCTGCTGCCTCGGATCCACCGCCGACCTCTTCTTCATTCCGCAGCTCACTCTCCTCTCGGAGCTCCTCGTCCTTCCGCCTGACGTGGCAGGCATCACGCTGCTCGCCTTCGGCAACGGCGCGCCCGACGTCTTCACCGCCGTCGCCGTCGCCAACCGCGCCGACTTCCCGCTCCTCCTCTCCGACTTGCTCGGAGGATCGGTCTTCATCACCACCGTCGTGCTGGGCGCTGTCGCGTGGTATGCGAACGCTCCGCCGAGTGTCTCGAGCCGCCGGCGGACCGGGCGGACCGCGAGCCTAGATGCGGGAGACAGAGCCCTGTGCTCCAGCCAGCACTCGAGACGACACGACTTCGGGCCGGGGTCACTCTCCGCCCACCCTCACCTCCCCACACCAGGACCGCGTCGCTGCTGCCGTCTG